AAAATAAAAAGTTCTAAAAATTTTGACTGCATCCTTATTTATAAAATCACGACTCCAACCATTATTAATCATAAGATTGTTTTAAGTGGCGACTTTGGCATACAGAAACCCTATCTAAGCTATTTCTTTAAATATAAATTTATACATTTAAAGTGATTGTAACATTTATTTTAGGTTATTCTGCCGCTGTTGGAGAGTTTACTGGAGATGGTGAGCTAGACTTAGCAGTAGGCATGCCACGTGGTCATGAGTTAAACGGCAAGGTAAAGAGTCCAAGTAATAAATAACTCTCTTAAAAATATTAAATGGAATAATTATAAAAATAAGAGTGTAAGAATGTTACATGTTCAGAAATAAAACGATAGAAAATGTAATGGAATAAAAAAAGATTGATAGAAAATGTAAAGCAATAAGAAAGATTGATAGAAAATGTAATGCAAAAGATACATTATTTGATACATAACTGACTCTATGAGCTATATGGCGGTGTCTGAAAGGTATTGCTGACAGTGTTCTACAATAAGCGATGTGTATTTGAAATAATACACTCTTCTTGTTAATAACTGTATTATGCAAGTAAACCTTCATTATTAGAACTATTGAGATGCTTCACAAAATATTCAAACTATATAGACTTTAAGAATTTATTATGTTTTTGAGGTGTTCAGAGGTAAACTTAATGTTCAATAAAATTTAATAGTCTTAATAGCTTTTCCAGATTGGAATGGTGTCATTAATATCGCTTTATTATTTTCACTCATATAGTGGAAATACTTAACATATTACATGAAACTTAATAGAAAATTAATAGATAATATCTACTTTTGGCTCCAAAAATTAATGTAATTTAAATTATGTTGTATGTGAAGTTTCAAAAAAACTGTCGTGACACGCTATTTTGAGAAAAAGAATTTCTTTTCGCCTTAGAATTTATTTATGGATTTTATTACGGTTAAGCAAAAAGTCTTATTTCTTATGTCTAGATAGTGTCAACTTCATTAATATTCACAAATACATTTATTTAGATAATTTATTTTGCTGAGTGCAGTAGTCGTAACTAACGCCTGTAAATCATAAAAATGCGACAAAAAACTGACAAAGATTTATGGTGACCTAGGATCCCATCTTTTGAAATTGCATAATCATTAATATTCACAAATACATTTATTTTGATACTATATTTTGCTGATTGCAGTAGTCACAATTAACGTCTATAAATCATAAAAAATACGACAAAACCTGACAAAGATTTATGATGACCTAGGATCCCATCTTTCGAAATTGCATAATCTTTACTTTTGACAGGCTAGGTATCGTGGTTTTTGCTAATAATATTTTGGTTGAAATCAGTTTGTATCAAACTAATAGCTTCTTTTCAATAAATAATAACTTATTCTATTTGTGTGCATTGTTTGAAAATATAAACTTATCAACACTATTTAACAAGTAATAATTTCAATCACATATATATTTTGCCATCGCCTACTGTAGATGTTAAACTTTTAACAAAGCCTACCTAAATCTTCTCATATAGAGATTGAGTAACTTATATTAAAATGATTTTGGATCCTTATCACGTCGTTACAATCCATAACCCCAATGTCTGGTTCTACTCTATCTGGCGACTATGCGTTTAAAGAAGTATTGTTATGAAAAATACTAGAGTCCTGTTCTAAAAGCTGGTCAGATAGGCAAAACTGTATGAACAATAACTAAAAATAAAATAATTGGATGAGAATGTTAAGGGTTCAAAAGGGGGAATAGCAGTTTACACCACCAATGTGGCGGACATTCCACGTGCATTATATTTCATTTTTGGTACTATAATTGTAAATTTGTTAAAGTTTTGGTTTTAATACCATATTTTCTAGAATATGTTATAAATATATTTTGATTTATTCATTAGGTGTTACTTTTTACCACAATTCTGAAGAGCATACAAAACCTTACAGGAGAACAGCTCGGTGCTTACTTCGGCTACGCTCTTTGTGTGGCTGACGTCAATGGTGATCGGTAGGGTGCAGATTTTGTAAACTTTAAAGACCTTTTTAGATAGAATAAGTATCATTAACACCAGTGTTGTTTCCATTTATACTAATTGTATACAATCACCAAAAGTAATTGTAACAATTATAAAATGGGGGCTGTTTTTCAAGCAAATCTCAAAGAACCATAGATAGTATGTCTTCATGTTCGAGTAAAATAAATGATAGAGAAAAACATATGAAAAAGTTTTAAAATTAATTCAAAGTGTGTGGTAGATATGTTTCTAAGTTTTTAGAAACATAAAGTTTTTAGAAAATGAAATAGGTGGTATGATTGCTTCTAAATAGCTGATCTTTGATAAATTTTCAAACTACAAAAAAAGACAAATTAAATGAACAAAGTCATAAATTAGAAAGTGTTCTTAGCATCATATAATGAACAGCACATTAGATAAAAATTATTGGACTTTCACGACATGGTAATATTTACCCCAGTCGACAGCTATAACAATATAATAATGCTAGATTTTAAAATGATACTTTTATAGAGATTCATTAATAACATCAATTGAATATTTGTATCAAGGAAGAATTTTTCAACATTTTGTAGACGTATGTAAATCATAGAAATATTTTTCAATGAAATATATTTTCGTGAATTAGACAAATATTTTGGATTCTTTTCTAATGACAATTTTGATATCAGTAATAGTCTCATCGAACCATAAAATCTCAATATTTCCGTATAATTGTTCCAGTAATGACCTTCTAAAAAAATGTGATATCATCATCGTTTAGTACAGTTCTTAATACCTTAAAAATAAATTACCCATTTTCAAACTTTCTAATGCAACTAAAACGAAATTGTTAACTACCAAACGAATGTATTGTGTTTTATTTCTTGTAGTGGTCATTGCTTTTTTTTAAATTATTTGAACTAAATAGAATTAACGACTAATGAATTGAACGAGCTAAATATCGTTTTGCAGAGTACTTTGGTTGTCTTTAATTAGAGAAAAAAAAATATTATTCATACTGTAAACATTGAGAAATTATTTCTAAATTTGCCTTAGAAGGGGGAATGACAGGAACCTAGTTATAAATATATTTGAATCAAAATAACCGAACTTATTTATACTGTATATGTGTGTGTGTGTCAACTTATTGTCATAGGGGATAATGTCTGTGGCAATAGCACCCAAATGCGTTGGGGATAATCCATCTATCAGACAAAATCCAAATGCTGATGTTAATCTTTTCAGCCATCATAGAAAATCAAATAAGGATACGAAGCTGAGTGCATACACACACACAACGTCTCAGCTTCTACTGCCTTTCACTATCTATAGCCAGTTGTGGGAAGTTAGTTACCCTTAAATTTCTTGAAGTAGAAATAAAACCACCCCCAACATTTCTACTAATTAAACTCCCAACCTCCACTCTTACAAAAATATATTAAGTAGAACTATAAGATATTACAAAGAACTATTAACAATTAATGTACTGAATAGTTTTAAAGCTATTCATTTATTTACTTAATGGAAAATTATGTTGAGGTGTTGATTTTATCGCCCTTTTCTCTTGTTTCCTATTCTAGAATTTTTCTATTGAGGAATATTCTACTACCTTCGTATACTGATTAATAGCCTAGCTAGCTATTAACACGAAAATTCAAATATGTTACATCAACATGTGAAAAATTTATTTGACAAGTTCCAGATGTTTAACCTATCCGGCAGCCATAAATTTTCAACATGTATGACAAAATGTACCACTAGGTTAAATAGATAATGTAATATATTTATTAACTTGTGGTATATGTTGCCTTAAATATGTAGAACAAACAACTAACTCTGTACATCTAAGGACTAACCTACATAGATTGCAAAGTAATAAAGGTTTTTCTCATTTGATTGAAAGAAATCATTTTAATAAACATTTATTTGATAATGTAAAAATTACTATATTAGAAAAAATCTACAATACAAATTTGTTAATAGAAAGAGAAGAACGTAATATTTTGAAAGAAAAACTCTACCCTTATGGATTAAATCAGGACTTTCAAAATAAAACTGCTGAAGTTATAAATAAAGATTTCTGTATCAGAATTGTTTTTCAAATAGATATTTGTATCAATAAGCAAAATAAAAATAGTGGTAAAAGTAAAAGTAGAAAAAAAAATGGATTGATTTTGAAAGTTTTTGTAAAAATTTGGATTCTGCACTTGACAGATCTGTTAATCTGGTGAAATTTGTAATAAAACAAGTATTTGAATTAACAAATGCAAAACTCAAATATATGTCAAAGTATCTAGTAAACTTGAATTTAAGAATATCCATGTCAAAGATTTAATTATAGATATAATTAAATTTAAATTAAAATGGAATTGTGTACCTATACTCCTTTCAGTAAATAAAAAAGGAGAAATATTATGTAGTAATGAATTTTAAACATAAAGTTTATGATCACATATTTACCTTATCTGATCCTGATCCATAAATGTATTGAAGAAGACATTTTTCTTATAAAATCGTTTCAACCTATAGTCAGTATTAAATATAATAAACTATAGTACATCTTCTCCTTAACTATAAAAAATTCATTAAAGAATCTTATTCAAATAGATATTGACAACTTACATTGTAACTGTAATAATAGTATTTATAAAGATATCTTTCATAATCATATAATTACAGGAAACTTAGAAGTTGTTAAAGATAAAGAATTACAATCAATAAGAAAGGTACTAAATATAGAATTTTAAAACGCACAAAAGATATGAAATTTGAAAAGACTTGATAAAAATATTGATAGTTATATTATTAAAATAAGTAAACAATCCTATTATCTGCCGTGTTTTTTTTTAATGGAAATTATATTTCGATTAAGAACTCTAAACTTATCTCGATGTAAATTAGATATTTCTTTCAATGTCTTTAAAAGTAAAATAAAATAAATTCAAAAACAGTTTATCATTACCCCGATTGATAAAGCTGGTTGTAATTTTGGTTTTCTGTGTAAAAAATTATATGCACCAATACTACAAGTACTTTTACTAAACGTTCTTTAAAGAAAAAAGAAAGCCATATATAAATGGAATATCCATACAGATTACTCTTGTACGAATTCACCATTTTTGTATGCATAAAAATTCCATGATTTATTACTAATTCTTTAAATACAATTATTAAATCTATCTCCATAGTACTTAACAATATTCTAGATGTCTTATCTGAAAAGATAAAAACACGGTCTTCAAATAACCAGAATAATCATTTTAGGATTATTAAAAATAACATTTCAGTTTTGGAATGTTTAAATAATTTAAATTCTTCAAAAATTGCCAGTTCTATATTTACATGTGACATTACTACACTGTATACTAAAATAGACCTAAAAGATTTGATCACGGTTTTCAGTGATTTGTTTAATAATTTTATAAATAATAGAATAATTATACCCAAATTTAAATTTACTAGAATTCAGTGTAAAAATACATTCCATTTATGTATTTATAACGAACTTCTCTTCAAATACGGCCAACCTGTATTTGTTCTTTTTATGAAAACTCATTTATGAAGCAGACTTTTAACTCCTAACTTATACATTTACACTTTCCGTTATATAAATGATTTAATATCTATAAATAATATGAATTTAAACCAAACTTAATATATCCAATAGAACTTGCAATAGAAAGAAGTAATAGTAATAATGAGGTTCATGCTAATTATTTAGATTTGGACATTACTTTTATAAAAGGCACAATGCGGTTGACTATTTTTGATTAAAAAACAAGGAATTAAATTTTCCCATCCCTGGTCTACCCACACCTAACAATGTTATTCCGTGTATCATGTTAAAATGTCTTATTATATCTCAACTAATTAGGTTTTTAATTGTCTGTAATAACTATAATTTTTTCATAGTTAATGTTCTAGTATTAAAAAATAAGCTGAAAGATAACGGCTATAAAGACAGGCAATTAAAGAAATACCTTACACTATTTTAATAAATATAAAATATTTAGAAACCTATATATCTATTAAAGAAAATACCTTATAAAAATAAAATAAAAAAGTCCTTAGTTATTTTGATTTATAAGTAGCTGATAAAAATTTTTCAAGTAATTTTATTCAGTATACCGAGACGGAAAAACTAGCTTCTAGTAGCTGGGCTTGTCTCGGCATTCCCGTGTTATAATGAATAAATCTTCAAGAGAAAGGGAGGAGGTTGGGAGTAAGAACTATATAACAACTTTTAAGGTAGGGTTTATAGTTCTATTTAATATCTGTTTGTAAGGATGGAGGGTGGGAGCTTAATTAGTAGAAATGTTAGGGTGGTTTCATTTCTACTTCTACTTCTGGCTATAGACAGTGAAAGGCAGTAGAAGCTGAGAGTTGTAGGTTTAAGCACTCAGCTTCGTATCCTTATTTGATTTTCCATGAAATCAGCGTTTGGATTTTGTTTGATAGGTGGGATATCCCCAACGCATTTGGGTGCTATTGCCACAGATATTATCCGCTATGACAACCTGGACCGATAACGGCAATGCGATATTAAATTCATTATTGTTTTATATATATATATACACCTGAAAAAAAGGTTAAGCACCCCCAAATATTTTTCAGGATTGCTTATTGAAAATAAGGTTTAATTTTCATGATGTTGAGCAATGTTCACAATTGTTCATTCGTTTTTTTCCCCACGTGCAACTTGCTCCCTTCTTCACGTCCAATATGCACTATTTTCTCGTGCATCAAATCCGTATTTAAGTCCCGAATTTCTGAATGCAAAATCATTTTAAGTAAGAATGGCAAGAAGACGGATATCAGAGGCGCAGAGATGGCAAATTATTGGCAGGAATTCCGCTGGTATGTCCTACAAGGCGATAGGTAGACAGCTTGACTATCATTACACAGTGATCAGCCGTTTGGTAAGAAATCATGTTGTCACCATGAAAGTAAAGGACCGTTCTCGATCTGGTCGACCATCT